TCCGCACGGCGGGCTCCCGCCACCGCTCCACCTGCTCCCGCTGCGATTCCGGCTCAGGCTCCCGCCCCCCACCCCCCTCCCCGCCTGGTGCCCGCCCCCAACCCTGGCTCCTGCCACTGCCCTGCTTCTCGACTCGCCCCGCCCAGGTTCCCGTCCCTCCTGGGCTCGGGTCAGCCTGTGTCCCACCAGGTGACTCTCCGCCACCTCCCCGGCTCGAGAGTTACGCCCCTCCCTGTGTGACTGTCCTCCAGGATCGCTCCCTCCCTAGATGTCTCCCGTCTTCTCTGAGAGATTTCTTTCCTCCCACCCCTTCACCACCGCCCCCGACTCGGGGAATTTGAGTGTGTGTGTGTTTTGTGCGCCCGCGTGCTGGTAGCATAGCGGGAGGTTGCGGTGGTGGGGGGAGGGCAGGAGGGCCGGGGTAGGTGCGGCTGCCCCGGGGTCCCGCATCTTTCTCTGGTGGGTGTGGGGCCCGGGGTGGCGTTGGACTGGGGACATGAGTGGCGGGCGTCACCCGCTGCGGCGCAGATGCCTTAGTCTGCGCTCAGCGCCGCGTCTACCGCGCTGTGCCGCAGTGACCGTGACACTATTGCGACCGTAGCTCCCTGGAGAGCCTCTCAGTGGGGCTGGAGTAGCCCCTGCATCTACCCCCAGACCCTCCCCCCATCTGAGGCCCATCACCCAGGCTTCTCTCCACCCAAGGCTCCTAAGAAACCCTCAGCAGCGGGGTGAGGCTGGGGGCAGGCATTTGTCCCCAGGGGAGCCAAGGGCAGGGGAAAGGGCTGCCGGAAGGAAGTGGCTGACTTGGGAGTTGAGGGCGGCTGGGGGGTGGTAGCGCGATCTGACGAGGATGAATCCGGGTGAGGCGAGGGTGGGGTATGGCTTCAACCCCAGCCCCGAGCAGGAACAAGATGAGGGAGGGGGTTGGCATCCTCCGCGGTCTCTAGGCAGCTCCCACCCCCACCCGACACGCTGACGCTCCCTGTTTGCTGTCAGCGCTCCCTGTGTGTAAGGTGTCAGGTTCCCACGAGAGGGGGCTGGAAGGGGACTGGGTCACTGGGGTGCAGCGGGTGCCTGTGCGAGACTGAAGTGGGTTCAGTTTCTTGGGGCAGGACCTGTCTCCTCTACTATGTCAGCGTTGTTCCTCCCTATCCATTCTCCTATATTCCAAAGAAACTCCACTATGATGCAAAATCCCAGCTTCCGGAGTCCCCCCCCAGTAGCTGTAAGAGGTGAGGATATCAGTGGAAGAACAAGAACAAATTGGAGGATGGGGTCTGGGCTTATGAGAAATTCAGAGAGCCCTTATTCAACCAGTCTTATGAAGAAGACCTGGTCCAGCTAGCACTGAGTTTATAGGTACGGAAGGAGGCCTTAAGTCTGGGGATGGGGAGGCCATCACCTGCTCCCCCTTTTCTTCTCCTGGTACTGCCTGCCTTGGCCATTAGAGAGCCCTGGACTAGAGGAGCTTGATTTGCTGTTTGTTCAGCTCCAGCACAGGTGGGGCCTCAGATAACCTGCTCAACTTTTCCCACATTGGATGATGATAAGGTGAGGGGAAGAGGGAGCAAAGGAAATGAAGGGGAGAGAGGAGTGGAAATAGAAGTAGATGAACATTCACTTATTCAGCAAACTTATAGGGCTGTACACAAGTTGTCCGATACAGTGTGTTCCTGAAAAGCATCCACTCTAGTGGGGGACTTACCCAAATAAGCCAATGATTGCAATATATGGCTATTAAGTGCATCCATCAAGATGCACAAATCAGAAATTTAGGAATCATCCTTGATGCCTTACTCCCTTATGCTTCTTTATCCCTGTGATGGAGACTGTGATGTCCAGCATTGTCTTCAAAAATGAATGGTTGGTTGTCCAGCTCCTGAGAGGGGTGCTGAAAGATGGTCTTCAACTGTCAGGCCCCTTCAGGAACTGCCTGAGCAGAAGAAAGTCAGTTTTTCCAAAGTCGTGTTCTTTTTCTGGGGCATCCCAAATCCAATGATTGATCAGCACAGAGGTATAAAGGTTTAGTCCCCTAACTCCAATGGAGGACAACTCCAAAAGATGGTCACAACCCCATAGCTCCTTATGGGGTTGACTGAGGTCTTCATTGGGATTGAGTTGCTGCTCAGCTTCTTGCTTTGCCCAATCCTAATTTCCTTCCCAGTCCTCTCTCTTGCACAGGTGCTGAATCCACGAGCACGCCTTAGTAAACATCCTCCACGGTAATCTTTGTTTTAGAGTCTGCTTCCTGGGGAACATAACTGCATCACTCCCATATTCAATCAATCACGAAGTGTTGATTTTAGCTACTGAGTGTTCCCTGAATCAGTCTGCTCATACATCCACTGATATTACCTTACTCTTGCATGACTCTCCTAGCCTCCCAAGTGGGCCACCACATTTTACTGATGCCTCCTTACAGACTCGCACATCCTCCACTTTATAGCTCAGAAAACAAGTCTGATTCTGCCACTCTTCTGACTTTTGCTTTTGGGGTAGAGAAAACCTTTTAACAGGATCTTCAAAGTCCACATGGCCTGGCTCTTATTTACCTCTCTAATCACTTTATTTCAAGTCACTATGATTCTTGTTCTCTCCATTGTAGGCACACTGGCTTTCCTTTAGTCCCCTTCCTTTTCCTACATGTCCTCCAGTTACATGGATTTTGCACATGCTCTCTGAAAGCTTCTTTCCTTCCTCACCTGATTTACTGTTACTCATGCACTTGATCTCAGCTGAAGCAGCAATTGCTTAGGGATGTTTTTTCTGGCTTCCTCTTCTGGAGTAGGCAAAATTAAAGATGACTTCCAGTGGCTGTCACCCTTGTATAATCTTCTTCTCTTGAGTGTGTGTGTGGGTGGGGGGGTGTGAATATGAAAAGATACTACTCCCACAGTAGAGAGAACTTGTCCTAGAAAAAAGTATGACATACCTCATAACTGGATATCACTACAGTCACTATGGTTGAAGCACTTCCCTTGGGAAGCTATGCACCGATGCCAGTGCCTAGTCCACCATCAAAGCAACTTTGGAACTCTTTTCCTGGAATGGCCGTCGGAGCTGTTGCTGCGAGAATGGTGTAGTTTGAATTACAAAAATGAACAAACATTACATTTCTTGTTAAACTTGGCAAGAGTGGAAGTGAAATCAGGGACATGTTAGTCCAAGTTTATGGGGATAATGCCATGAAGAAAATGGCAGTGTACAAATGGATTAAACGTTTTTCTGAGGGGAGAGAAAGTATCACTGATGAAGAGAGGTCAGGAAGGCCAGTAACAAGCAGAACTGATGACAACATTGCAAAAACTGTCAAATTGTTATCAGCTAATTGTGAGAAGCATAGCAGACCAAATCAACATCGACAGAAAAACAGCTTGGAGAATCTTAACTGTAAATCTTGGCATGAAAAAGGTATTTGCAAAATTGGTCCCAAAGGAGCTCTTGCATCATGATAATGCACCAGCTCACACAGCAGTGTCTGTTAGGGAGTTTTTTTTTTTTTTTTTAATTTTTCCATTGTCTAATGGCAGAGGTTTTATTTTTTAATTTTATTTTTAAAAATTTTAATGCGAAGGAGTTTTTAGTCAATAAACAAATAACTGTATTGGAGTACCTTCCCAGTTCACTTGATCTGGTCCCCAGTGACGTTTTTTTACCCAAAGATGAAGGAAATATTGAAAGGAAGACATTTTGATGATATTCAGGACAAGACATCAGGGTAATATGATGACAGCTTCGAAGGCCATTTCAGAAAAAGAGCTCCAAAATTGCTTTGATGGGTAGACTAGGCACTAGCAACAGTGCATAGCTTCCCAAGAGGAGTATTTCAAAGGTGACTGTAGTGATACTCAGCAATGAGCTAGGTAGCGAATCACATGAGTCCTTTAAAAGTCAAGAGTTTTTTGTTTTTTGTTTTTTCTGGCTAGTAGGAGAAGAGGAAATAAGAGAGATTTGAAGAATGAAAATGATTCAACACAATTTTAATGGCTTGGAGATGGAGAAGACCATGTGGCAAGGAATACAGGGGGCTATTGCAGGCTTGAGGGTAGAGGAGGGCCAAGGGCAAGTACCTGAGAGTGGCCTCTAGCTGAGAGCATACCTTAGGTAACAGTCAGCAAAAGAACAGGGACTGTAGTCCTCCCCCAAATCTCTAAAAGAGAATTCAGTCTGGCTGACACCTTGTGATACCCTGGGCACAGAACCCAGTCACACTGTGTAGACATCAGACCAAGAGATCTGTGGAGCTAATAAATGGGTGTTGTTTTAAGCCACTAAATTCATGGTAATTTGTTATGGTAACAATAGAAAAAATAATATACCTCCCATCTCAATAGGCAGTAAATGCAGACCCTTGCAAGTCATGCAAGAAAGAAGTGGGAGCATTGGAAATTTGTTAAGAATTATAAATATTTGGAAAGATTGCAAGGACAGATTGTGTAGAGAGCAACTTAAATGGTGGGACCAACTGAGAGTCCATGATAGTAATTCAGGTGAGAGATGATAGTGGCTTGACCTAAAGTCACGTAAGTAGTGGAGAAGATGAACCCAAGAGCTCTTTAGGAGGTAGAGACAGAATTTAGAGACCATTTGCATGTGGAGGGTAAGGGAGAAGGATGAGATGAAAACTAATAGGGTTTCTGGTAACCTAATAGAAACCATTTGATGATCACCTGCTATGTTCCAGATACATTACCTTTAATTACATTTTTAAACCTCATAAAGAACTATGGATTTAGGCCCAATATTACTGATCACTATTTTAAATGAAAACAAAACAAAACAAAACAAAACAAACCCACTATGATTCACAGAGAGTTTAAGTGATTTTCCCAAAGCCACAAAGCTCTAGGTGAAAGAGTCAAAGGCAGGGATTTTGGAAATCGGAATGCAGATGTTCATACTATGCTGCTTCCCAGAATGAGTAGAAGTTTTACTAAACTTCTCT